TTGATTAATTTATTTTATAGAAATATTAAAACATAACAGGAGTTTTTTCTTAAATGATTTATCGGACAAACATAGGTTTGTTTGTTCTCCTGGGAGAAGAACCCTATTTCTGATTGTTGACTGCACATAGATAGTTGCGATGAAAAAATCTTCTCATCTCTCATTTCCATTAATAGATCACATAAATAGATCATCTGTATCATAAAAAGTGTCTGATGATGTGGACCTCCTACTGTTACATACATTAATGTCTTTGATCAGGATTTAATGTATAAGTAGATGCTCTTTGGCTTTGGAAGCACAACAAACACGCTGAAACATTCCGGTCTTTGGACCGTCGAGGTGTTTGAGTAGCTTGGTCTTACAGCTTAACAACAGTTTGTACCGCCCCCCTGTTGTTTAGTTAGACAACAAAAGAACTCAACCCTAATCCCAAGAGGGTTAATAGTGTACAGACTAATGCATGTTAAAAAGCACATGCATGCACACACGCACGCACGCACGCACACACACACACACACACACACACACACACACACACACACACACACACATACATGAACACACTTGCTTAGTTTAATCTTAAGCTGAAAGACCCCCTGTCCTGAAACCACCTGCCAAGCAGGACCTGGATGAAGAATATGCTGTGTGTGTGTGTGTGTGTGTGTGTGTGTGTGTGTGTGTGTGTGTGTGTGTGTGTCAAAAATACACTTTCTTCTACAAAAATACACGTTTCTTCTGTTCAGTGGCTCAATAACAGATGATCAAATGCCCACACTTTGTGTTCACAGCGGTCTTTATCGAGTCTTATCTGCAAGTCTTTTGGTGCAAGTTTTATAGTCCTCAGCAGAAAGGATTTAGGGATTATTAGAGCTACTTAGACAAACACATTTGACACGTTCAGTTTGTCTAAGGTGGACGTTGAAACGTCCCTGTGATCTCCAATAGGCATGTCAGAAAAAGGCTAAGGTATGATAAACAGAATAAACACAGCAGGATTTGTTCTCAGGTGATTTATCTCGACGTGTCAAAACTCAGGATTGTGTAAAGGCACTTACAATCGCTACTACTGATGTTTTTTTTTAAATAGGCAGCTTCAGTGACATAAATATAAATAGTTTTTATCGTAATGTATTAATTATCTATTCAAATTTTATTAAAATACATTTATTTATTGACTTTAAAATGTGGGCTGCGCAGTGGTTAGAGCTGCTGCCTTGCAGCAAGAAGGTCCTGACAATGGGTGGACTTTAAAATGTATGGTTGGGGGGGGGGGGGGGGGGGCAGTGAGGTGGCCAACAATTTTCCAAGGGTGGCCATTGCCCCCCGCCCCATTGCCACTCTTTGGGGCACCACTGGTGGTAATCTCATCATAATCAGTGAATTAAAGTTAAATGATGAGGTCCTATCCTATAATAAGCCTAGAAAATGACATCATGGCGGGAGGAGAGCCTCTGGGCAGCCACTCCTTGATTCAGTAGGATAAAAAACACAAACGTGTTTCCGTGACTCTGAAGGGGCGAGACTTTTGCATATGAGGGTTTTTGTTTTCGTCACAGAAAAAGGCAAAAGGAAGCAGCTAACAGTGTAACATAAAAAAGGAGTATTTGTTAAATATTTGATCAAATTAAGACTTTCTATCCATGATTTAATTTTTTCCCTCTGACGACCCCCTCTCTCTCACACACAGCACCTATGCTATACATCCCTAACCTAATGAGTTGCTAACTTTTTGCTATTCATGAAGATTTTACTAAACTGCATAAGAAAACTGACCAACTCAGAAATTCCAAAAGGCGACACAAAGAGAGATGCAGAGAAAATGTCCTCTAACTGTCCCACTTAGTGTCGAGCTACACTCGGGGGGCTGAAATGGAATCCTGCTCAGACAGGGTGGAGTGTGTGTGTGTGTGTGTGCGTCAGGGGGGTTAATGGGGTGTGTGCCTTTTCTGCTCTGCATATATGAGCCTGTTTTCACTGATTTGATTATGCAAACGAAGCACATGTTGAAAACTGGCAAAACCCGTTGCTCATCCAGTAATAGTCATTTAAAAAAGTGGGCGTTGCATCTAAAAAGTCACGCTACATAAGAAACCAGCATCATGATGAACGTGTTAATGCTCGATAATGTTGTTTTAATAATTTACATGTGTTTAGGTAGCATTAGCAGCATGCACTTCCTCTCTGAGTAAAATCCTTTGTCTCATTATGCACTAACTGAAGCCTCTCATCACTCCCTCCTTCTCCAGTGGCCATCTGCTGCTCATAGTCAGCTCCAAGTGTGCCCAGCAGCTGACTCACACAGAGCTGTGCAGCATTCTGTCTGAGTATCTGATACACCTGAAAACCTGCCCACTGGGTGAGCGGAAAGATTATCTGTCACATTTGGAGGAGAGCAGAAGAAGGATGCGCTTCGGTGCTTTGCTCTGGGGAAAGCCCTCAAAATGTGTTTGTGTGGGCGTGTGTTGCCCTGGGCTCATGACTACAGGCATTGTTTAAAAGCAGCAGGCTGCAGGAGGAGAGCTTGTGTTTGGTGTTTATGGATGCTGAAGGAGGGGGTGGTGGAGAAGGAGGAGGAGGAGGAAAAAAGAAAAAGGAAGGAAGGATATTAGAGGAGGTGTAAGTGGGTCGGGGTACCAGTAAGATTCATGGCTAGGCTGGGGGAGCAGAATAGGCAGTGAAAATTACCCCCATAGATGGCATGCAGTGTGAATGAAAATCAAACAGGTGTTTTTAATAAAAATATTTAATTCAACATCTTTTGCACATTTTTGCAGCTAGGTGCACAAACACCAAGTAGCAGAAAAACAAAAGTAAAGATACAGGTTGTGTTCTCAAAACGGTTATTTATTCTGCATACCAAGTCAAGTCCGACTGGTTGTCTGGGTTTGTGCTAACAGTCGATCTAATCTGGACAGAAGGATGATTTTGTCGGCTGCATGGCTGGTTACACCCAGTCCTGATTTAGGGTGACAGGAGGACGGTTAAAAGTGTGTCCACAGCACTCAAACACCTGGCCCTCTGAGTCCACACGGAGGACCAGAGACCATATGGCATATAGAGTCTAAAGTGTATTGTGTGTGTGTGTGTGTGTGTGTGTACGCTGTTACCATGTTTGCGTGTGCAAAGCTTTAAAGGAGACACATCATAACTTAGTTCTATGGTTGATACGAAACATGTTTACGGGGATCGTGGCACAAAATCCTTCTCACATAAAGCAATTTCAGTAGCTTTATGTTTACATTTTCAGATCTTTCCAGAATGAGCCAGTTCAGGACTCTGTCACTTTAAGAAAACAAGCCGGCGCTTCAACCCCACCCCCCCCCCCCACCATGCCCCGTTCAGGCTGCTTTGAGCTAAGAAGCTCAGATATTTGAGGCCCTGTCCACACGTAGCCGGGGATCTGCCAAAACGTAGATATTTTTCAACGTTTTGGCCTGTCATCCACACGAAAACAGAGTTTTTTCACACGAAAACGGATCTTTTTAAAAACTCCGGCCAAAGTGAAGATCTGCGTTTTCTCCGTTTTGGGTGTCTGCGTGTGGACAGACAAAACCGGAGTTTTAAGGTCCGCAACGTCACTTTCCGCGACAAAAAAATGCTGACATCACGTGCGCGACCTGTGTTTACACTAGCCGACAGATGCCCTCAGAGCTGCGCTCGCTTTATCAATTGTCCAAGCGCTTTTGGCTTGTTTGTTTTTGCAAGCGGAATTACTGCTCCTTGCGGAAGACCACAGACGAAGGAAGAGGTTAAGAACGGGGGAAGTACTGCCGCCTACAGGTCTGGCATGTCCTTAACAACGTATTTATCCGGGTACATGTGGACAGAGTTTTTTTTTAAAACGAGGTGGTGTGGATGCAAGTTTTTGGAGGGGCGGATATTTGTTTAAAAAAAAAAAAACGCTACGTGTGGACTAGGCCTGAGAGTGGCTCGGAGTAGAGCAGCTGGTCCACCAGGTGGTTCTATGATAATTTCCACGTTTGTGACATCACAAGCAGGGACTTTTTCCAAACAGCTTGTTTTAGGCTCATCATTCCCTGAAACCAACACTGACAGAAAACAAATGGATGTTTTTTTTTCGTGTTTGGAGTGTTTATAGTCTATAGAGACCGACATGACAACGCAAAAAGGATGCATAAAATAAGTTTTATCTAATGTGCCCCCTTTCAACATTTTTCTATTATTCTTTTGAGTAGGATAAAGTCACTAAACCTTAAACTGGAAAAATGCAGATCAATAAATTTACAGGCCTCAAGGATGAGCAGACAAACATACTATAAATGGGGTTTGAGTGAGTTCTAATACCAAATGTGAAAGTCCTTTTCATTCAACCCAATAACATCAACAACATTCAAAATACAGACTTGGTTTAGATCCAAAGAAAGTACCTTTTATCTCTTTCAGTTCAAATAAATCACAGAAACCATGACTACATCTACGCAACAGCACTAACATACTTTTCCCAAATCCATATCCCAGCTTGTGTCCTAGTGCATTCGCTTCCCAGTTCACATTTCACATGTAAACAACTAAAATGCAGAAAAATAACACTTTCTCTACCCCATATTTTCCGTGATGTGCTAAGATTTGCATAAACAAATCACCCTTCATCATCCAAAAATAATATCCCCATAAATATGTGACGACGACGCAGAAACCAATATAGTAAAACACACACATTCAGGAACAGAAGCAAGGAATTGTGGGAAATTTGGCTCTTGATCAGTAAAAAGAAAAGTGCAATTGGTAACAAGAAAGGTGGAGGAATAGGAGAGGAAGAGGATGGGGGAGGGAGTGGAGGACACTGGCGCCCTGCCAACGTTGACGAAAGCTGCTTAGCCCACCCAGTTGCCATGGATACAGCAGGGAGCAGCGCCCAGCTTGCATGTGTCTGCCTGCCTGTGATCGAGCGAGAAAGAAAGAAAGCAAGGGAGGGGAGAGAGAGAGAGAGAGAGAGAGAGAGAGAGAGAGAGAGGGAGGGATAGGGAGAGAAAACCAGCAGGCAGGCGTTGAGGCAAGTCAGAGTAGGAGTGAAGGAGCACCAGAAAGGAGAGTGGAGGGGAAGAGAGAGAGAGGGGGTGCGTGCATGTGAGGCTACAAAGGGAAAGAGGACGGAAAGGCAGAGAACTGGAGGAAAGCGACACTGTGGGAGCAGCAGAGCGCTGGATAATGGAGGTGCAGGCGGAGTGTGTGGAGCCTCCTGCGGCTCCACAGTGTGACCCCCAGCCAACAGGGAGAATCAACAAAGCTGCCTTCAAACTGTTCGGAAAGCGACGCACAGGCTCCGGAATGACCAGCTTCTTCTCATTCCGGAACAAAGGGACTACAAACATGGGAAGCAACGGGAATTCTGACAATGGGAATTCTTTAAACGGAAGCAGCTCAGCGGCATCAGTGGAGCTTGTGAGGAGCAAGACCCACGATGGACTAACGAGCTCTAACAACGATGCTGCTGGACAGAGAGGGGATGGGCCTGCTGCCCTGGAGGCAGGTCCAGTAAGGTCGCTCAGCAAATCCCTGAGTTTCTTCTCTTTTCTCCGACGTGGGAGTTTTAGGACAAGTGAAAACGGGGGTGCTGGTATCGTGAGACGAGGGAGGGGCCTGAAGGGCTTTTTCAGCAGCATGCGATGGAGACGTAGAGAAAAAACAAACGAGGGAGACAGGGAAGAGGTGGAAGGGAAAAAGGAAAAGGATGCAGATGTTGAAACTGAAAACGTAAAGGACATCACGCTCACCCTTGAACCCCCTCCACACTGTCACCAGGAGAACTGTGAAAATGTGGAGACAGGACCGACCCTCCAAGAGGCGGACACTCCCACCACTAGTGTTACCATGACACCCACACACTGTGTTGCCATTGCAGGACCATCTGCTGAGCCATACTCCCTCTTGCCTTACACACCCACAGACTCACCACTGCACCCCCCCATCCAAAAAACCAAAGCTTCAATTTCCAGCCTCACCCCTGCCCTGGCCACACCACCTTTGGACCACTGCAGCATAGGCGACCAACCTTCAGAGCCTTCTGTGGATCGATTGTGTTCTCTCCTTTTTACTGATGTCACGTCTCTTAAGAGCTTTGATTCACTCACAGGCTGTGGTGACATTATTGCTGATGCAGATGAGGAAGGGCCAGTGGGTAATGGGGGTAGTGGCACTAGCAGCAGCAGCAGTGGTGGTGGAGGGGGGAGCCTGGGTGCAGGCATTGGGAGAACTGTTGGTATCTCAAGCGTCACACCTCGTAGCTCCCCATCAAGGCCTTCCATACCCATCCAGACTACTCAGCCCATCTTCTCTGTTTCTCAAAGCTCAGCACCTGCTTCCCTTCCGACCCGAACCCGAGTTCCTCCTCCTCCTCAGCAACACCCCGCCGGCAGCGGTGTGGTGGCCTACATGGGAGGAGGAGAAGAGATGGCAAGCCCAGAAGGAGTGGATGATGCGGATATGCAAGGGCTCTGGCACATGTTGCCTTCCACAGGTGACAACTCCCCTGCCTTGCCCCGACTGAACCAGCCTTCTTCGACAGCCCTCACTACGACTCATCCTTCTCGTGCCAACCCTGCCGGGAGCCATCTTCCCTCAGCTCCCAAGGCTGCAGAGAAGAAGGTACCCCAGGTGAAGGCACTGGGACTCAGTAAGATACCGGTTGTTGGTGGAGCAGGAGGAAGAACAGGTAAACCTCCACTTCCTCACGCTCATGGTCGCCACCCTACATCGCCAAATGAAAAAGAGCCTCTAAGTGATGAGGGCTACTGGGACACACCCTCAGCAACACCTACAGCAACACCTGATGAGAGCGGCTTGCAGCGTAATCAAACGATGGCCCTGTCCCGCGACAGTTGTTCTGGAGACCACCTGTATGACCTCTACAATGATCCTGAGGAGGACGGAGAAGACCAAAGAGGAGACGAAGATCTGAACAGTACTCCTTCTCCATCTACTGAGTACAAAATGAGTCCAACTTCCTTAAAAAGCCCCACGTCGTCCTCTTCTTCTTCCTCTTTCCGATCAATAAAAGGCAGCACCAGCCTTCCTCGAGATTCCAAGATCCCTGTAAGCACCAAACAAAGCTTGCCCCCCCACTCTGTGAGCCAGTCAGCCCTGTCGTCGGTTCTGGAGGTGGAATCCTCTCCACCGAAGAGCCAGGATGCTCAACCAGCTCGCACCAGAATCCCTGTATCCAAGGTACCCGTTCGGCGTTCTGGAAGCAAACCCACGAGAGGAACGGCACGCAAGAAATAGTTTTATCAAGATGACCTGGACTCTAGTGTGAATTACTATCGTGCTGCTTCAGCAGAGCCATATGTTGAGCTGTAGACGTAATAGCCTAAAAATTCTCTCAGATACTTAAAGTCCTCATTCCAAAGGTTCTCTTTGGCTTAGACTGGGTTGAATGAATACTTTTGTTTCCTTGAGAAGTCACAAGGAGACTCTAAATAAGCTGGGCTGATATTTCACCGACCTGTTTTGCACTTTGGGGGCGAACTATTGACAATCCATTAACTCAGAAATGACACATTCACCACCTTGTAAGTTCCTGGAAAAGCTTCTTACCTGCTGAGTTTGACATTTACTTTGGACGGAGAAAGCACCTTTTGTATCTTTGCCATCTTTTTCTATGGAGTTCCACTCAGCATTAGGACCTAATCGAATTGAGGATAAATGTAATTTTTAACGTATATTTTTATTTCTAATCCTGTCTAATCTGTATTAAATTACCTCCTGCATTTGTGATTTTAGAGCCAAAGTTTAATAGAACAACAGTGTAGACTTTCGGCCTCCAAGAGCCTGAGACAGATTTAATAATATCCTCAAATTCCAAGATCCTGTTGACCTTTTTTTTTTTTTGGCTTTTGTTTATTATTCTAGTTATTTTTGAAAATGGTCTTGTTCTGTTTAACAACTGTTGTAAGTTAAATCTGAAGCAGTTTGCAGTTTAAAAGACCACAAATTGTCTTTAATTATAAAAGGACTCAGGTTGCTTTCTTTTTCTTCTTACTGCATTGCTAGAATTACATTCAAACTCTGGGATTAACAATAATTTAAAGGTGTGGAACACTGAAAAACCATTTTTAAAATCTTATTTCTGATTGTAATTAGTCATTGAGTTTTTAATTCAGGCTGAACATGAAAATAGTCTCCTACACATATCTCTTGCGTTAGCTTCTGACAGAAAATAAACATTGAAACGCTACGATTAGAAAAGCCTGACAGCGTGACATAACACTGTCGCATAACATTCATGGACTCACACATCTTGACTCACGACGGGGAAGGCTGTTGTTGGTTTAGCGTTCAGGAAACAACACAACATCTCGGCTAGTAGAATCTAACTGTTAGCATTAGCAAATCCACCACACAGCAGAACTCTTCCAGACTTGTGTTATTTGTGGAGATAAAACATCAACGTTGCAAGTCAGCGGTACAGTCGCATTGCCGTTATCCAATCCAAGGCCAGCTGTCCAAAAATCAGGAAATTAGACTCCAAAATCCTGCTGTCTGAAGCTCAGCTGTGATGTGACTCGCTTCTAGTTCCTGGAAATAGTGCATCAGTGTTTTTTTTTCCTCCCTCGAGTATGACTTACAAAACATTCTTTCCTACTAGAGACCACTGCAAATGAACTGATTAAATGAGTGTTCCACACCTTTAAAATTTTATGGAAGCCTGTTTATCTTTTGCAACACAAAAGCTGGGCAGATCCTTTTGCACTGATGCATCATCACTCACAACACAAGTTGTGCACGTTGAAAATCCGACACACACACACATGCAGACACACTTTCCGTCATTGCATGCAGTGCCACACACTTGAGGCACAAAGTCAGGGAAAAAAGATCCAATGTTAACGGGTTTCCTGTATGCAAACTGTTGAACATTTTTCACTCTGCTTGTAGCCACACTGGAAACTTTCTTCTCTAAGGAGATATTAACTGTTTTTTCTAGTCTGTGCATTGATTTACCTGATTTGGTGTTTTTACAAGTTCTTTGGTTTAAAAACTAAACAACACGGATTTCAAACTGTGATCGCACCGACTCTGTTTCCTCTCTTTTCTAATACGTGTTTTGGTGTTCGCCGATGAAAATGAGGCGTTATTTCTGCAAAAAGCCCAAATATGATGCAAGGAATCTTTATTTTTGTTCTAGCTACCATGCTGAATGAGTTTATAGACCTACACTTTTTCTCTGACTGAGTTGATTCCAGGATCCACCGCAGCTGTTCGTAAATCCGAATGTAGCTTCTTGTTGTTCGATCCCTTCCTTTTTGTCCCGGTTTCATGGAAGCAAAACAACAGCTGGATTTTGCAGTTTTATAGGCTCTTATGCTCTGGGGGAAAAATAAAAAGAAGACAAACAACTACTCAATAGGTACAGCCTCATAACGCAGACGGCACTCATTGAGAGACCCATCCCCTCCCTTTAGCAGTCCCAAGAGGCCTTTGTTGGAGATTTGTTCAGACAAGTTCGAAGCAAAATTTCTCTAATTCACGCCACAAAGACGCCATTGATGCTATTCTAGACCATAATATCTGTTCATCATGATTAGAATGTAGATTTATCTAGTATCATTGCAGGTTTGGATTCCTTTTCCTTTTGTTTGACTTAAGATAAAAACAGTAAAACAATCTGATTCCAACATTTTCTGCTCAGCAGAGGAAACCAAGTCTCAGATGCACGCAGACCCTCACATGATGAATGTATTTTGGCATCAGTCAGAACTAAAGTTGTGCAAAAATGTAGAGTTATAAACACTACATGTTAAAATAGGACATCCTTGCCTTTTCTGACTTTACTTCACATGTTGGAATCTGTTTTTCCACTTCATCCAAGTATGACATAGGACCTTCTTCCTTTGATCAAACACGTAAGCACTCCTGAGGCCAACTTGGTGTATTTATTACACCCTGAAGCTTTTCTTTCTCATTGTGAATCTGGGCCTTCGTGCGAATGCTGAAAGGAAAAGCACATCATGTTATCCTTTTATTTGTTGTTTTGTTGTTTGAACTTCTTCTACCTGCCGTTTTTGACTAATTAAACCATACTGACGCTGAAGAATGAGCTTCTGACTCTGTATCCATGTCTAAATCGGAATATTTTGAACACCATTTACAAATTTTTGGTTTCCCAGGCATTTAAAGCTGTGTTCTCACATTTAGAGAGGTCAGCTTTGCCTGAGAGTAACAGGCTATCAATAAATTGATTTGCAATGCAAAAGTCATTCCCTCGTGTTGCTTTCCAGCAGGAGAGGCGACCATAAAACAGAAACAGCTGATGCATGAGGCTGTGGGGTTTGCATGTGTTTTTGTCTTTAAAAGGGACAAATATTGCTATGTAAGACCTACATATTGTTGCATAGGTGCTTATGTGCTGTAGGATTTGGTGCAGTGCGAATTCACTTTGTAAGGGTGCAGTAAACACCCCCCTCCTCACTGTCTCTCTCATTCTCGCTCCGGTTTTTGCACCGAGATTTATGTAAAAGCCTTACGTAAGACGCTCAGTCACCGCCAGCCCACCACATCAAAACAACGGATGCTGACGGGGAGAGCGGAGTGTGTCGGTGCGTGCTGGTGCATGCTGGTGCATGTGTTTGTGTGCGTCAGCTGATTTTATCGTTAATCTGCTGGTCGAGGACATTTTCATGCAGAGCGTGCCAGCACGCTTTGGTGTGTAAATCTAGAGTAAGAGCACAATAGGGAGCACTTAGCTTGTGCAGCTCTGGAAGGATCCCGTACAGATCATTGACAAGGTGAATGAGGGAGGGAATTATGAGCAAATGGAGTCCTTAAATTAAGCTGTCAGTTCACCTGTTTAACCTTTAAGTTTTAACAGACAGCTTTCTTGTGTGGCAGTATCGGGATAATGGCTAACAAGTGTGCTGCTTGCATAAATCAGTAAGGATCACCGTTAGAAAACAATAGTGGGTTAAGGGTTGCTCTAGCTATCAAACAGGAAGTTGTGGCCAAAAACAGAAAGACATAGGTGTAGAGGAAAACCCCTTTCTAAATGACTTCTGCTTTTGAGTTGATGATGTGATATGCTCTGGAAAAATATGACGTGTTGAAATCTGAACATCTTTGAAACTCAGTGAAGTCACAGTCGCAGACTTAATCTACATCTCCAAACAAAACTACAGGATGACTCTGAAAGTTTTGGCTCTTTAGTGTGCAGGTTCAGAACCATCACTATCCTATTGTTTGATTGATCTTTGAATGACGTCAGTCAGATGACAGATTGCTTCTCACCGGACCGATGAGAAGAAGAAAATATCATCTCTATAGCGCATCTCAAGGTAAAAATCACGAGGCGCTTAACGAAAACAAAAAATGTAAAAATATGAAAAAGCATTTAGAAAATGTTTAAAAATATATTTAAAATGAGCAAATATAGACAATTGTGATTAAAAAAATGTAAAGAAAGAGAGAGAGTGAACAGGAAAGAGGGAAATCAGTGGATCCTGAGGAAGGTGGAATTGGTGGGGAGAGCAGAACAAGGAGAGGGTGAAGAAGGTCATACAAAAGCCAGCTTGAACAAGTGAGTCTTCAGCTGCTTTTTAAAGGAGACCACTGAGTCCACTGATCTCAGGCTCAGGGGGAGAGAGTTCCAGAGTCTGGGGGCCACAGCAGCAAATGATCTGTCACATTTGGTCTTTAGCCTGGTGCTGCACAACCAGTAGGCTTTGCTCACTGGACCTCAGGGACCTGCTGGGGGTGTAGGGACTAAGAAGATCACCAATGTAAGATGGTGCTTGTCCATGTAAGGCCCTATAGACCAGAACCAGGATCTCTCATGAGCTGAGAGAAAGATTACTGTTATTTCAGAAACCTCTCACCTCATTATGGTTTAAATTTACAATGATTTACAAACCTTACATGGTTACATCAGTAGTTATTTACAGAGAAACTAGTCGTATTCCTGCTAGAGGAATCATGTAATGCGAAACCGATGTCGGGTTGTGCAACATTGTGTGAAGTGACTTTGCAGTTAGCACCTCTGTGTTAACAGGTTTGCTATAAAGGTGTGGTTCACTGTAAAATATTTTTAATTATAATTTCTGATTATAATTGGTCACTCTGAGTTTTTAATTGCATTTGTAACGTCACCAAATGGACTGATTTTGAGATCCCACAGTTCATATGCATGGCCAGAGCAAATAACCCTGGCTACACACGTTCTGCTGTATTTTACCCCGACAGGAGATGGAATGTCTGCACGCAGGCTCTTTAAAGAGCAAGTCACCCCTTACAAGAAGCGTACTTCACTCCTACTTCATGTTTGAAAAATGCAACACATGCTTGTTTCCTAGCAGACCGAGAGGGTGGAGCCACTAACAAATACACACACTCACGACATTGTGACATCATAATGTACCAGTTTACATCATAGCATACCTCTTAGCCAATAGCGGCGGCAGATTTAAATTCAAATGCAGTGAAGAGTTTTTACCTGACAACGGCACAACACTGACAGTTTCAGGCAGAAATTTTAAATTTTAACTAAAATGCACTAAAGTGCAAAACTATTCTCTACACGTGTCTGCAGCACGATTAGACACGCATTTATGTAGTTTATCAGAGAAAAATAGTTGATTTGGGGGTGACTTGCTCTTTAAAGAGCAAGTCACCCCCTACCAGATTCTAACTCCACTCCCACTTCATGTTTGAAAAATGCAATAAATGCTGTTGCCTGGCAGACCGAGAGGGCGGAGCTGCTAACAAATACACACACACATAGGCTCACCACAGCATTGTGACATCATAATGTACCAGTTTACATCATAGCATACCTCTTAGCCAATAGTGGTGGCAAATTTAAATTAGAATACAGTGCAGAGTTTTTACCTGACAACGGCAGAATATTTAAATTTTAACTAAGATGCACTGAAGTGCCAAATTATTGACTACACGTGTCTGCAGCACGATTAGACACTCGTTTATTTAGTTTATCAGCAAAAAAAAGTTTATTTGGGGGTAACTTGCTCTTTAATCAGATGACTTCATCAGCTGAACTGAAGCTTCAACAGATAATGAAAGATGTCAGCAGCATTCTTTTCCCCAAGGTTCTGCACAGAACTCTGTTAGATAAACTTTTATTCCCAGAAGAAAAGAAGATTTCATAACTAAAGTAATCATTTTATAATTCAAAATAATCATTGAAGAAAAGAAGATCTTATAACTAAGATTTTATAATTAATAATCACTAAATGTTGCCATGTATAATTATAAATGATGAAATGTTTCATGAATCTGTTTCAATGATAATAAGTACTCGCGCTGCTGCGAACCGGTTCCGCCGTCAAATTCCCGCAGAAACTGGTTGATCACACCGGGGCCAGACTACTAGCACCGCATGTCCTCAGAAGCGAAAACGCTTTTAAAAGGGAGGGAGAAGTGCTAACTCTCGCTGCAGGCGTGTTGTGTGAGAGAGAGTGCAGTTATTTACTGGTTAATATATTTTTGGGTTCAGTTGCTTTCATGTGGCCTAATGTGAGTCTATTTGGGATCATTGGAATGATCAGCAGCATTTCTTGATGTGACTTTATGGCAGTTGCCCAGGGCATCATCACAAGGAGGATGGCATTCATTTACTTTTTTTTTATTTGGTATTTTTTCAGTCATTTTTGGAAATAGTGATCAATTTTGATTAAGTCACAGCCTATGTTTAATTACATTTAAAAATTAGTTGTTTGACATCCCCAGTTAAAATAAATGTCAACAGATGAGATCAAACAAAACAGATGAGAATTCCCCTTAAAGAGCAAGTCACCCCCAAATAAACTTTTTTTTGCTGATAAACTAAATAAACAAGTGTCTAATCGTGCTGCAGACACGTGTCGTCAATAATTTGGCACTTCAGTACATCTTAGTTCAAATTTAAATATTCTGCCTAAAACTGGCAGTGTTGTGCCGTTGTCAGGTAAAAACTCTGCACTGTATTTTAATTTAAATCTGCCACCGCTACTGGCTAAGAAGTATGCTATGATGTAAACTGGTACATTATGATGTCACAATGCTGTCGTGAGCCTGAGTGTGTGTGTGTGTATTTGTTAGCGGCTCCACCCTCTCGGTCTGCCAGGCAACAGCATGTGTTGCATTTTTCAAAAATGAAGTGGGAGTGGAGTTAGACTCTGGTAGGGGTTGACTTGCTCTTTAAGCTGTTTAACTTGGACCAAGCGTTTTAGGTCACAGATAGGTGTAGCTTAGGGTCTCGGTCTATACACCTTATAAGACATTTTAGGTGATGGCATGTTGTTTTTCTGCTATTGAACTGTTTTCTAATAATGTTGTGTTTAATAAAGTGAAGGAAGGAGAGAAATAACGTTTCCTTAGCAGTTTTTAACAATGTCCCCATGTAATCCGATTAATCGATTAATCGTGTCGAGACCCCATCCGATTCATCGATTATCCAAATAATCGTTTGTTGCAGCCCTAATCGCGTGTTAAATTAGTTTTTGAGGTGGCGACACCTGATTTGATAATGTTACTGTGGCCGTGCTCAGGACGCAGATGTCTGGAGCGCGTCAACGATCAGAGCTTTGCATGCGCAAGCTGGTTAAGGTTAGGATGGGGGTGAGAGGAAGGTTAAATTGCAAGAGGGTAAACGTCACAATTTGGTTAAATGTCCATTTTACGGCGGTGTCAGTACCGACGCTCTGGCACAGCGCGTTGCCTCCCGACCCGCAGGAGCTTGTCACCTGCTGACAGCAGGCTGCTGTCTATTCCGAGGACTGCATCTTGCCGGTCATTATCACGTGAAAGTGACTAGTCGATGACAGGCATAAAAAGTCACTATAGAGCAGTCGACTAGTTCATACAACCCCTATTGCTCCCCAGAGTGTTCTGCAGCATAATCAGCACGTTCTCTTTGAACTTGATATCAAATTTTCGCCTCCTCTTCGTCTCCGCACCTGCCATGGTTAAAGTTACCCTCGCGGTCTGTCACTGGCAAATCAAAAGTGAGACGGATGACACAACCGTCACGGGCCGCTGCAGGATTCATTGCCAGCAGTTGCTTGGCCAGTGTTTGGGGTTGCTGCTCTCTGTTGGTGCGGACTGAAACGTG